CCCCCCCCCCCCCTCCTGACAGCAATATTACGTAATCAGTAATCATGGCCTGACCCCCCCCCGGCCTTGACTTTTTTCCTAGAAAAAAAGTTTCGTGAAATTTACTCCTGGTGCTGGTGTAATCCAAGTTCAATGACTCTTATCTTTGTAACTACAGTTATAACTTGAAGTCAGGACGCCAGGTAAAGTGAATTGAAAGAGTGTGGTAGATTATAGATTGTAGATTATAGATTATAGATTGTAGATTGTAGATTATAGATTATAGATTGTAGATTGTAGATTGTAGATTGTAGATTGTAGATTGTAGATTGTAGATTGTAGATTATAGATTGTAGATTGTAGATTGTAGATTGTAGATTGTAGATTGTAGATAGTAGATTGTAGATTATAGATTATAGATTGTAGATTGTAGATTGTAGATTGTAGATTGTAGATTGTAGATTGTAGATTATAGATTATAGATTGTAGATTATAGATTATAGATTGTAGATTGTAGATTGTAGATTGTAGATTGTAGATTGTAGATTGTAGATTGTAGATTATAGATTATAGATTGTAGATTATAGATTATAGATTGTAGATTGTAGATTGTAGATTATAGATTGTAGATTGTAGATTGTAGATTATAGATTATAGATTGTAGATTGTAGATTGTAGATTGTAGATTGTAGATTGTAGATTGTAGATTGTAGATTATAGATTGTAGATTGTAGATTGTAGATTGTAGATTGTAGATTGTAGATAGTAGATTGTAGATTATAGATTATAGATTGTAGATTGTAGATTGTAGATTGTAGATTGTAGATTGTAGATTGTAGATTATAGATTATAGATTGTAGATTATAGATTATAGATTGTAGATTGTAGATTGTAGATTGTAGATTGTAGATTGTAGATTGTAGATTGTAGATTATAGATTATAGATTGTAGATTATAGATTATAGATTGTAGATTGTAGATTGTAGATTATAGATTGTAGATTGTAGATTGTAGATTGTATATTATAGATTGTAGATTATAGATTATAGATTGTAGATTATAGATTGTAGATTGTAGATTGTAGATTGTATATTATAGATTGTAGATTATAGATTATAGATTGTAGATTGTAGATTGTAGATTGTAGATTGTAGATTGTAGATTGTAGATTGTAGATTGTAGATTGTATATTATAGATTGTAGATTATAGATTATAGATTGTAGATTATAGATTGTAGATTGTAGATTGTAGATTATAGATTGTAGATTGTAGATTATAGATTGTAGATTGTAGATTGTAGATTGTAGATTGTAGATTGTAGATAGTAGATTGTAGATTATAGATTGTAGATTATAGATTGTATATTATAGATTGTAGATTATAGATTATAGATTGTAGATTATAGATTGTAGATTGTAGATTGTAGATTATAGATTATATATTGTAGATTATAGATTGTAGATAGTAGATAGTAGATAGTAGATTATAGATTGTAGATTGTAGATAGTAGATAGTAGATAGTTGATAGTAGATAGTAGATTATAGATTATATATTGTAGATTATAGATTGTAGATTGTAGATAGTAGATTATAGATTGTAGATTGTAGATTGTAGATTGTAGATTGTAGATTATAGATTATATATTGTAGATTATAGATTGTAGATAGTAGATAGTAGATAGTAGATTATAGATTGTAGATTGTAGATTGTAGATTATAGATTATATATTGTAGATTATAGATTGTAGATAGTAGATAGTAGATAGTAGATTATAGATTGTAGATTGTAGATAGTAGATAGTAGATAGTTGATAGTAGATAGTAGATTATAGATTATATATTGTAGATTATAGATTGCAGATTGTAGATAGTAGATTATAGATTGTAGATTATAGATTATAGATTGTAGATAGTAGATAGTAGGGTAAAGCACATAATTTTGTCATTTTTTGGCAATTTTCAGACTGCCTGATATAAACCATGGGTTTTAACCTCGTCTGAAATTCCGATTTAGATGAAACCTCCACCATGTTATAGTAGACAGTCTAGGCAAGTTCTATCACAAAAATGATCGAAATTGCTGGGGTTGAAGATGTTCAAAAAAATTATTTTGAAAAAATGACAAAATTAGGTGACTTTACTTAATTTTGTCACCCCGAACCTAATTTTGTCACTTGAAGATTGTGCAAAAAGTAACCGTTTCTCGGTATTTTAGACTACCTGGATGCATCATTCGAGCGCTTTTTTACCAACATTGACCTCAAAAATCCCAAAGATATGATGTTTTCATAGTTTTGTAGCTTGATGAAAAGATGACACTTTTTGGGTATATAATCTTAGAAAATAGCCCCCAAATGCCCCTGAAACCACTGGTATCTTGAAAAACAATTGGTTCTAGGTCTAGGTTGAAATTTTCATGTCTGTAGATAGATCACTTGCTTAGTAATTTCATCAATTATTTTTTTAGTCATTTTAGATTGAAAAAATCAGATTATCCACCTCGGCGAAAATATGCTATTATAAGTGTTATGCTATTATAAGTGCCTTATACATATCCTATGGGCAAAAAAACTTCAGAATAGTTGTATAAGGCCATTTTCAACACAATCTGTGATTTACAAGAAATTTGAGAAAGGTCGATTTTTTTGACAAAATTAGGTACTTTTGGCAAAATCGAACCTAATTTTGTCACCCTCTGTAACTTAAACAATAATTGCGCTAGAGACTTGAAAATTTGTACGTATACTTCTGCTGTAGAAGATATTTGAAATATGCAATGGCATGAAGCTAGCTCAATTACTTTTGAAATAGCAATAAATCAAAATTTTGAAAATTCCTTAAGAAAACCTTAAGGATCTTATTTATTTTTCGGGTTAACAGTTTCGCCTTCATTTTTGACACAGATGCAAAAGAGCTAAAAACTTAAACTTTGTAGGAGCAGTTTCAGCAAAGTCTAAGCTTTCTTTTTATACACAAACCTTTTCTTTCAAGCTGAAATTCCGAGCCGAGGCAGTTTTTCAGAGCAAAATGACAAAATTAGGTACCCTGACAAAATTACGTGCCTTACCCTATATAGTAGATAGTGGATAGTAGATAGTAGATTATATATAATATACATTATATACTACATAAACATTAGAAAGAAAGTGTACTTAAATTACTAATTTTTAAAATGAGGTATAAATGTCGATATACAGTGCACAAATCAAATAAGCAGATGTAGCGTCCCACAAGTAACAATACTACTTCAGTATTAATATTTACACAGAAAAAGAGACATACGCCGACTAGAAACCTTTGTGTTCACTGTTCAGCTGTTCATAACAACTGACAACTGAATTTCAAGTATGGAAGTGTGTAGTGACATCAACACGTTTGAAGTCGCGAACTAAGGTGAGTCAGCCGTCAGTACCAAAATACAAACCGTAGACTTAATTACCTCTTTTTGGAGTGTGATCACATGAAATAATTTCGATCATGTTTCTTGCAGAGCACAGAGGCAATAACAAGTGATGTGATCGATCGAATTGCGCGAATCACATGTTAATGTGGTCGCGCGCGGTGACACTGACTGCTGAAAAAGTACTTTATATATTTTTTAAGTAATCGGTGTCGCGTGTTCCTGTAAGTGGTCCTGGTTTGGACTAATTTGCCAGTATCTAGGTTAGTTGCCATGTGAAGTAAACGGAGTGGCACGTACTTAATGACCTAAAGTATACATCAACAGGTCCTCTAATCTAATGAGCGCCACCCATTCAATAGCCTCAAATATCTATATATAGAGATATAGCCACATACATTTACGATAAATACGATTCTAAAACTGTAATAAGACCTTGTTACTTTGATAACCTTGGTTTTTGGAGTCAGAAATAACCATTTATTACGAAATTCAAATTAAAGAATTGGAATTTAGGTGGAAAAATATTAAAATATTTCCAAACAAACACCGATATAATCAATATCACAACTATTATGATAGTCAATCATTCTGAAATTTTGATTTAAAGTCACCGTCCAAGAACATGAAATTAATTTTAATTCGGAATAAATTATAATTCGACACAATTATTACATAAATCAATTACAAATCACTAAAGACTTTGGGCCAGATTGTTGATAATAATACACAAATTACTTAAATCAATCCTTGTGATCAACACAGATAGTCCCAATATTCACATTTTCCACGATTCAATCAAATTGGGACCACTAATTCAATATGTCAGATTAGTAATCAATTTCATTAAAGATGATATTCATACAGCCAATCTTGCGAGATAATACCGAGATCAAACAACGGTTTAATATGTGCCTTTAACTTAACGCTAGTCAAATTAAAAACTATAAATGCATAATAATGCCGTCACATTATCTTCAACCCAAATTCTTTGCTTTTACATCTTCAAGACAAACAGAAAAACTACTAACGAAAGGAGGTTAATCAAATTGGAACTAAGATAAAAAGCATTAAAGTGGCCATCTGTCATTCACTTCATACCTACGTTACTACCTAGTGTACAGTGTACAATCCTACTCTAGCAGTCATATTAAATAACTTAAAAGATAATCAGAAGTACCGTTCAGTTCTCACTCTAAAGATAATCAGAACTACCGTTCAGTTCTCACTCTAAAGATAATCAGAAGTACCGTTCAGTTCTCACTCTAAAGATAATCAGAAGTACCGTTCAGTTCTCACTCTAAAGATAATCAGGAGTACCGTTCAGTTCTCACTTTAAAGATAATCAGAAGTACCGTTCAGTTCTCACTCTAAAGATAATCAGAACTACCGTTCAGTTCTCACTCTAAAGATAATCAGAAGTACCGTTCAGTTCTCACTCTAAAGATAATCAGAAGTACCGTTCAGTTCTCACTCTAAAGATAATCAGAAGTACCGTTCAGATCTCACTCTAAATATAATCAGAAGTACCGTTCTGTTCTCACTCTAAAGATAATCAGAAGTACCGTTCAGTTCTCACTTTAAAGATAATCAGAAGTACCGTTCAGTTCTCAATCTAAAGATAATCAGAAGTACCGTTCAGTTCTCACTTTAAAGATAATCAGAAGTACCGTTCAGTTCTCACTCTAAAGATAATCAGAAGTACCGTTCTGTTCTCTGATTTGTCTCACTACATCGTCGTGAAACTTGTGAACTTCCTCCCAGTGGGGCAGGCTACGCACTCTCTCCAACCAGCCTACAAGAGAAGGTTATTAATTTAATTAATTAATTAATTAATTAGATTTTTTTGATATGACTCCATTTAAAAGTTTCCCTCCTCCACTTTAAATTTATTTCTCGACGAAAAAATTAATAGAAAAAAAGGAAAGAAACATTGTGACAGCCAGCAGTTTAAAATCATCCACAAAAATGTTAAAACTTACTGATAACATTGGGCCACATTTTAAAATCAAAGTTGACCAGTTCGAGCACGACGACGATACTTGCTATTGTGAAATCAGCTGTTGTTCTTACTCCTAGCAGCCAACTCTGAGGAAATCAGTAATTAATTAGTAATTAATTAGTAAATAGTAATTAATTAGTAATTAATTAGTAAATCAAGGAATAGATCGTCAGAGATTAGTATTTATCACTAACTTGTACATTAAAAAGTGACTATACATCTTTAATGAGATATTAGAAATTACAATCTCTGAAAATTCATAATCGCTTTTTTTAATACATTAATCAAACAACAACAACTTAATAAACAAATTTACTACACCAATACTAAATTCCAGTTAAATTATCATTAAAGTTAAACTCTCTTCAGATTTCAGAAGAACTTACCTTATTACTGTGTAGATAAGAAGAAGTTACCTTATTACTGTGTAGATAAGAAGACGTTGCCTTATTACTGTGTAGATAAGAAGAAGTTACCTTATTACTGTGTAGATAAGAAGAAGTTACCTTATTACTGTGTAGATAAGAAGAACTTACCTTATTACTGTGTAGATAAGAAGAAGTTACCTTATTACTGTGTAGATAAGAAGAAGTTACCTTATTACTGTGTAGATAAGAAGAAGTTACCTTATTACTGTGTAAATAAGAAGAACTTACCTTATTACTGTGTAGATAAGAAGAAGTTACCGTATTACTGTGTAGATAAGAAGAACTTACCTTATTACTGTGTAGATAAGAAGAAGTTACCTTATTACTGTGTAGATAAGAAGAAGTTACCTTATTACTGTGTAGATAAGAAGAAGTTACCTTATTACTGTGTAGATAAGAAGAAGTTACCTTATTACTGTGTAGATAAGAAGAAGTTACCTTATTACTGTGTAGATAAGAAGAACTTACCTTATTACTGTGTAGATAAGAAGAACTTACCTTATTACTGTGTAGATAAGAAGAAGTTACCTTATTACTGTGTAGATAAGAAGAAGTTACCTTATTACTGTGTAGATAAGAAGAACTTACCTTATTACTGTGTAGATAAGAAGAACTTACCTTATTACTGTGTAGATAAGAAGAACTTACCTTATTACTGTGTAGATAAGAAGAAGTTACCTTATTACTGTGTAGATAAGAAGAAGTTACCTTATTACTGTGTAGATAATAAGAAGTTACCTTATTACTGTGTAGATAAGAAGAACTTACCTTATTACTGTGTAGATAAGAAGAAGTTACCTTATTACTGTGTAGATAAGAAGAACTTACCTTATTACTGTGTAGATAAGAAGAAGTTACCTTATTACTGTGTAGATAAGAAGAACTTACCTTATTACTGTGTAGATAAGAAGAAGTTACCTTATTACTGTATAGATAAGAAGAAGTTACCTTATTACTGTGTATATAAGAAGAAGTTACCTTATTACTGTGTAGATAAGAAGAAGTTACCTTATTACTGTGTAGATAAGAAGAACTTACCTTATTACTGTGTAGATAAGAAGAACTTACCTTATTACTGTGTAGATAAGAAGAAGTTACCTTATTACTGTGTATATAAGAAGAAGTTACCTTATTACTGTGTAGATAAGAAGAACTTACCTTATTACTGTGTAGATAAGAAGAACTTACCTTATTACTGTGTAGATAAGAAGAAGTTACCTTATTACTGTGTAGATAAGAAGAAGTTACCTTATTACTGTGTAGATAATAAGAAGTTACCTTATTACTGTGTAGATAAGAAGAAGTTACCTTATTACTGTGTAGATAAGAAGAACTTACCTTATTACTGTGTAGATAAGAAGAAGTTACCTTATTACTGTGTAGATAAGAAGAAGTTACCTTATTACTGTGTAGATAATAAGAAGTTACCTTATTACTGTGTAGATAAGAAGAACTTACCTTATTACTGTGTAGATAAGAAGAAGTTACCTTATTACTGTGTAGATAAGAAGAAGTTACCTTATTACTGTGTAGATAAGAAGAAGTTACCTTATTACTGTGTAGATAAGAAGAACTTACCTTATTACTGTGTAGATAAGAAGAACTTACCTTATTACTGTGTAGATAAGAAGAAGTTACCTTATTACTGTGTAGATAATAAGAAGTTACCTTATTACTGTGTAGATAAGAAGAAGTTACCTTATTACTGTGTAGATAAGAAGAAGTTACCTTATTACTGTGTAGATAAGAAGAACTTACCTTATTACTGTGTAGATAAGAAGAAGTTACCTTATTACTGTGTAGATAATAAGAAGTTACCTTATTACTGTGTAGATAAGAAGAAGTTACCTTATTACTGTGTAGATAAGAAGAACTTACCTTATTACTGTGTAGATAAGAAGAAGTTACCTTATTACTGTGTAGATAAGAAGAAGTTACCTTATTACTGTGTAGATAATAAGAAGTTACCTTATTACTGTGTAGATAAGAAGAACTTACCTTATTACTGTGTAGATAAGAAGAAGTTACCTTATTACTGTGTAGATAATAAGAAGTTACCTTATTACTGTGTAGATAAGAAGAAGTTACCTTATTACTGTGTAGATAAGAAGAAGTTACCTTATTACTGTGTAGATAAGAAGAAGTTACCTTATTACTGTGTAGATAATAAGAAGTTACCTTATTACTGTGTAGATAAGAAGAAGTTACCTTATTACTGTGTAGATAAGAAGAAGTTACCTTATTACTGTGTAGATAAGACTTTTCTATCGTGTCCAGATCTTCACATACCTGCAACAAATACAATTTTCATCACACAGTTTAACACTGTTTAAAATTTACAGTAGATAATAATATGAATTATGACTTATTATAACGTGTTTTGTCACACAGTTTAACACTGTTTAAAATTTACAGTAGATAATAATATGACTTATAACGTGTTTTGTTCCAATGTATATAATTGTATATTGTAAACCTGTGGGCTGTGCTAATCAAGGTGTCCTAGTACGTGTTTTGGTTACAAATAAATTAATAACTGCAAAAAATTAATAACTGCAAAAACAATACATAAGGTGTACATAATACATATTATAGTGTACTGTTAACAGTAATTATGTATACATTATACAATGTTATGTTTTGTATAAACTCACAAACTAGTTAACTTGTACAATGTACAATAATAACCAAATTTACCGCGGAGCTTGCGAGAAAGGGAAAAGCTGCGGTTTGCGTTAAATTATTTGATTGTTTACATTTTAAAATGTGTTTTAAAGTCTTATTTGTGGAACGGAAAGGTCGCGTTAAATCTGAGTATATCATTTATAATCTCACACATCTTACACTAGTATTAAAATAATGCTGTGATATAACTTTGTTCAATTACTTCAAGGACTGTACAATCGTAGGTGTTTAATCCTAATCTATTTGACAGTATCAGGTCAGAGCAGCCCCCCCTCCTCTTCTTACACCCCTGGGTCAGGGCAGGGGCGCCCCCCCCCCCCTTTCCTACACCCCTGGGTCAGGGCAGGGGCGCTCCCCCCCCCCCTCTTCCTAAACCCCTGGGTCAGGATCTTAGAACACATTTGTTTAAGATATCTCATTAGCAACTAGCACAGTGAACATTTAAATGGTGTAAATACCTTATAATTTGTAAAGAATGCTAGCCATCTTAGCACGTACTTTAAGAACATAAGAAGTAAAAAGTGGGTGGAAATGTTCAGTAAGAAGAAGGGGGCTAAACCAGGGGTTATATTACACCACAGTCTGAACCTAATAATTCTGTGTGTTGGTTCTTTACTGTAAAGGTTCGGTAAAAAGGAGAGGTGCTCTTACTGGGGAGGAAATAAGTTGTGTTACAATTCGTCCCCCCCTTCCCCCTACCCCTACCCCCGCACCGCAACCCCTGCCCCCGCAACCCCCGCCCACCACCCCCGCCCCCGCAACCCACGCCCCCGCAACCGCCCCCTACCCTCGTCTCCCCCCGTCCACGGCACCCCGCCCCCTTCCCCCCTCATATTATAGTTTAACTTCTCCTCTCATTCTCCTCTCATTGGTTATGATTAATATTTAGTATTTAGCAGTGTGAGATGACTGATGATAGTGAGATTAGTATTTATATAAACTTCATTATTTATTCACAAATCATAAAATATGATAATTCAATAAGCGGACACCTCTACAGTAATGTGAGAAGGGGAATAACTAAACAGCTGACCTCAACAATGTCCTCTATCCAGCTACTCAGAGAGAGAGGCAGTCCCACGTGACCTGCACGTGACCTGCACGTGACCTGCACGTGACTACTATTCACGCACATTATCCTATTCTGTTATTACGGTCCTACAATCTACATTCTTAGTCCTTACATTAGCTTCGCAAACTCCGTTCTCTCTTACGTAATTCTTATTGTGCTGATCTTCCAGTAGTTTGTTTCTCAGCAGACTCTGTTCGAACTGGATGTCTATTTTAGTTACTCACTTAACTGTTACAGCCAGGCATTATAATATTTCTTATTTTCTGTGATATTCGCCTGATTTTACCCTCCTCCTCCTCCTCCTCACTTTGTCTACATCTGAGACGAAAGTCAGGTAGGAACGATACAGATTAAGGATCGATTGTGTGAGTTATAATATAAGAGGATTCAATATCTTATATCAGAGGTTTAATCTATTATAATAGCCAATTAGCTGTAAATATCAATTATCAATATAGTCTCTCGTAAAAAGCTCCCGTGAACATTGTATAAGTTGTGATAACATCAAATTCAGCTAATCTGATAAAAATCTTTTCAGAATCATTTCAAACTCGTCACAAACTAATAAGATATTGGGATGGGGAAAAGAAAAAATAACAAGGGAAAGCAGAGAAAGAAAGGCAGAAAAAGGAAACAATTGGTTGCAAATGATAAACAAACAAATTGCGGTCGGTACATATAATACTTATATTCATATTATATACTATGTTATGCATGACATTTTGTAAGTCTATTATGATTTATGCTATAAAATCAAGCAGTTCTTATAGAATCAATACAATTGATAAATTTAGCTCAGGCCGTTCAGCCACTTTGTTACATTCTCCATTATCATTCTGGGGTCTTATAACTTACAATTTTGTTGTAAGTAAGATATTTTTTCAACTTTTACAGAGATAACTACGCTGCAAGACCAATCTCCGATTGCCCCCAAAGAGACTAATATTGATGCTCACAACGACAAAGAGGAAGCATCCAGCAGTACTTTTGATGAAAAAACAAATTTCGGTTGGTACATACTTATATCTATATTCATTATTCATGACTTTTTGTAGTAAAACATTAACGAAGTCTATTATGATTTATGCTATAAAATCAAGCAGTTCTTATAGAATCAATACAATTGATAAATTTAGCTCAGGCCGTTCAGCCACTTTGTTACATTCTCCATTATCATTCTGGGGTCTTATAACTTACAATTTTGTTGTAAGTAAGATATTTTTTCAACTTTTACAGAGATAACTACGCTGCAAGACCAATCTCCGATTGCCCCCAAAGAGACTAATATTGATGCTCACAACGACAAAGAGGAAGCATCCAGCAGTACTTTTGATGAAAAAACAAATTTCGGTTGGTACATACTTATATCTATATTCATTATTCATGACTTTTTGTAGTAAAACATTAACGAAGTCTATTATGATTTATGCTATAAAATCAAGCAGTTCTTATAATAAAACAAATATTTATAAAACAAATATTTATTTTTACGGCACAATCAAACAATATCAATAATAAATAAATCAGGGGAGGTTTGAAGAGGTTTCAAGTGCCGAAGGCCACTGCTTATCTTTAGGATTTGAGAGTGACCTGTGCTTGAAACCCCCTCAACCATCCACTACGTCAATATACTTGTTATATAAATTATATAGAAAAATATAACAATCTAAAATTACTTATTGGTTTAGTTAGGTGACATAGGAGAGCCCAGTTGAGTTTTAGTTTAGGTTTAAGTTTTAAGTCAAAGTTTAAAAGGTTAGCCATGTTTCATGGCAGAGAGAGATATCATGTGTGCAGAGCCGTACCGGATTTAGAATTTGAGATATAATATAAATTAGTTACCATGTATTAGGGTCATCTCGATTTTGGAGGGAAAGCAAGTGCTTTTTAAGGTTAGATTTAATAATACCTGACGAGGCTGACAAGTCTGAATTCTTGGAAGAACCCGGGATTATTATCCCATCTACATTAGCATCACATATTTCGAATACATGGGGGCTGAGGTCATTCCAAATTTTCGTAGAGGTGTACAAAAAGTTCTGTTGGGAGATATCCAACCTCAGTAATGGGACAATCAGACGAAGTTTTTCATTTCTAGGACAGAACTTGAAAAGATCTTTAATCGACTGGGGGACATCAAATTTAAGAATTTTGAATAGTTCCATAAATGTGTGGTACATGTGCAAATTCTCCAGGTTCATAATTTTCTGCTCAGTGAATAGCGGTTTAGTGTGTTCAAGACAGTAGTTCTTGCTAGCCATATGTTCGTTATAAGTTCTTGAACGTGCACAGGTTAAATAGTATTCCTTATGATCAAAATTGGGAATGTTACCAAATAGCAGTCTTATACATCGTTTTTGAATTGCAAAAATTTTATTCAGCTTATGTTTAGGGATCCCACCCCAGCAACTTATACAATAGCTAAGATGTGACATAAAAAGAGCATTGTATAGTTTCAAATATTCAGATTTGGGAATGAATTTGCAAATTCTCTTAATCGATACAATACTGGAGTTCAGCTTTAAAGATAAATGATTAAGATGTGGTTCCCAGCTTAGCTGTTCGTCTATTATCACCCCAAGAAACTTTGTACATTGAACCTTTTCTAGCTTTTTGCCATCTATTAAAATCGTTAGATTCCTGTTAAAGGGCCGTGTTCTGGCACAGGTCTGTGTTGCTCTTGACAAACCTGGCTGAAAATGCATGTAACAACTTTTCCCTGCATTTATATGTAACTTGTTAGACTCCATATAGTTACTGACCTGTTTCATTACATGATTAGCTTTTTCAAAAGCTTCCTGTGCTGAACTACCTATCACAAAAATATTTGTATCATCAGCAAACAGGACGAATTCAGCCAAGCTTGAGGAGCTCACAATATCATTTATATAAATCAGAAATAGTAGAGGTCCTAACACTGACCCCTGGGGTACACCATACTCAACTGAACACTTGTCCGATTTTTCAGTTTGAAAAGAAGTTACTTGGCTACGGTTTGTTAGATAGCTAGCAAGAGTTTTTAGTGCAATACCTCTTACTCCATAGTGTTCAAGTTTATGCAGGAGTTTATCGTGCTCAATTGTGTCAAATGCTTTACTTAGATCAATAAATATTCCAATTACATGATTTTTCTGTTCAATCTCATTAAGTATTTTATTGACAGAATAGTTTACGGCATGATTTGTTGAGTGTTGTTTTCTAAAACCAAATTGTCGGTCATAAATCACGTTCATAGCACTGAGGTAATTATATAACCTATTATAAATTATTTTTTCAAGTATTTTTCCAAATATCGGTAATGTAGAAACAGGTCGATAGTTATCAAGGCATCGTGAGTCTCCTTTTTTATAAATTGGTGTAATAGAGCCCGTTTTAAGCTTGTTTGGAAAGACCCCATTGTCCAAGAACCAATTAAAGAATCTAGAGATATGACCAGACAGATAATTTACACTCTTTTTTAAGACTTTAACAGAGATATCACTTGCCTTCCCATTTTCAAGGCTACCAATAATTTTACTTATCTCTTCCTCGT